ATTCTGGTCACCTTTAACTGCCAGACTCTTCTGCCTGTTTGCCAGGTTCTGAAGCCGTTCACGTAGCTGATGACCAGCAGGGAGACTCCCAGCTGTTGTTCTAGAAAATGGTGCAAAGCCATTGGGCTTGAGTGGATGTTGTGGTCTTACAGATGGCTCAGCATAATTTTGCTGTGAAGGCTGGTGCTGATACTGATGTAGTGCATGAGATGTTTTACCAGGTGGTATAGTGACAGCTTGCACTGTATGCCCTGGCCCAGAAGCTGCAATACAGGGCACTGCTTCAGACACAGTTGTGAGTCTGACTCCTTGTGAAAGAGTTGATGGTTGTGTTGGCTCCAAGCTCCTTGACACATCCTTACCAACCTGTGTTTGCAAAAGTGCACTGCTGACAGATTGCCCTGGTTGATGCTGATGAGAACTGTATAAAGGAGCTGTAGATGTGACTGTAGTGACATGTACAGGTTTGTTTCCCAAAGGAAGAGTTGCGGACATTCCTGAGACCCCTGCAATACTACTTGTAGGGACTGATTCCTGTCTTGGTTGAGAAGCAGTGGACGTTTCCATGCCACCAAATTGTATTGGTTCACTTCTTCCAGAGGGAGCTGTGCCCACACCTTCACTTCTACTAACAAGTGAGGTAGATTCATTTCTTACCGGAGGGACCGTTGACATTGCCAAGGGCACAGCCACACTACTATGATGAGTTGATTGATTTCTTACAGGCAAAACACTAGGTCTTTCACCAGGAACACTAGGTATAGACATTTGGGGCACAGACAAGGGAGCCTGGCTGGGTGGGTACATGACAATGTTTGAACTTAGCTGGTTTTTACTAGTCACTCCATAATGCATGGTGCTAGGTGGAACAGAATTGTTGTATACCAAAGACGCATGTCCATTATGGGGTAATTCATGATCAGGAACTGACATTGGAGTTACAAAACGTTGTTGGTCATTTGTATTCCCTGTGGTGACTTGAACATTTGACTGTAGAGGAAGATGGTGATTTTGGGACTGGTTAACTTGTTGCAATGATGAGTGTGTTCCCTGGGAATCTGCAAGTGGAATGAATGAGGGTTGTTTCATAGTGTCACTGTGACTGTATTGTGGCTGGTTGTGTCCTTGAGAAGACCCTTGTGATGTAACTGTTCCATGCAGGTTAGGCTGTTGACCAGTATTTTGAGCCCAGGGCATTGGAACCCTAGGCAGGTACTCCAAGTTATGATTTTCACTGGCCTGATCTAAGGCCCCTCGTTTCAAGGTCACAGGGTTCAAGTTATACAGCGTGTTTATACTGCTTGATAATTCCTGATATTCATGGCTCTTCAGAACAGCAAAGAGTTCTCTCTGGAAATAAAATGAAATACCACTTAACTCTCTCCAAGTCATGTGAAAGTCAATTGGTGAATGGTGAACTATTAAATGCATGTACATTCAAATAGTACCTTTAAATATTGCAGCTGTTCATCTGTGGTTTTCCTGTACTCCAGAAGTTCTTGTTGTAAGGCCAAGTTTTGCTCTTGAGTGTGAAGTATATCCTACATAGGAGAGAAAAGAATGAATGATCACATTTACATGGTTACCACAGCCAGACAGCCTAACTTTTCCATGATTTTTCCTGACATGACCAATGGAATAAACAGTTTCAAAAATTAGTCCTGATAATGGACTCGACGCTCCCCAATACCTTATTGTAGTTGGCTCATTGAGTCATTGATTGAGTTAGCAGGGCCCTGGACCATGTATGGAGTGTGTAGTCTTGGATAAAACCGTGGTTGAGCATTGTTGGATCGGAGGCAAGATTTTGTTAAATACCGTAAAATTCCAAAAATAAGCCCCGGAGCTTATATTTTTCAAAGGCCCTTTTTGAGGGGCTTATATTCGGAGGGGCTTATCTATGGAGGGAAATTTGCATTTCAAAATCGATTGGGCAAGCCTTATAGTTGGAAGTAAACTTACCATTTTTGCTTTGATTTACTTTGTATTTGAGGGCAATTTTCAACGCACAAGCCCCCAGGGGGCTTATATTTGGAGGGGCGATTTAACGGAGGGTTTTTTACGTTACCAGTTTGGGGGGCTTATATTTGGAGGGGGCTTATTTTCAGAATTTTACAGTAAGTGTGAAGAACTTTATCAAAGCCACATCAAGTGGATGGTCTTAGATCAAACCTAGGCATAGGTCCCACAAAAACCTGCAAAATCCTGCTGAATGTGCTTGTAGAACTAAACATGAACTGCTGGTAATGAATACTTTAAATTTTAGGAGGGTCCATCCACAAAGATAGAAATACTTACATTGGTCAAGGCGTCGACCAAAACCCTTTGTTCTTCAAAACCCTGGAGTACTTGCTCTCTCATGATCATTTCTGCTTTACGTTGAATTTCACTCTATAAGAAAAAGAAAAAATACTTTGCATATAATGAAGGGCACATGTAATGTAGAACTAACAACTACCTTGTTTCCAAAACAGAGGTTAACCAATGCGTGGGAGTAACCCCAAAAATATACTTACAACAAAAAAACAAAACATGGCAATGTTTTCATTTTAATTTCAATTGACATTTAACCTGGATCAGGGTTTATTCTTTTGAGATATTCAAATTCCATGATTTTCAATGACTTTTCAACTTTTCCATGATCTTGGGTTTAACTGTCATGTTGTAAAATTTTGAGAACTTATTTAGAGGGTATTTTTTACCTAACTCAGTTTATCAGACACAAACTCTGACAGACTGGTGTCCGCCAAAATGCATGTTGTTCGCACTGTTTAAATACTCCTCTTGATCTTACATTGTCCTTGCTTCGACATCTGCAGTAATTAATCTACCAAACAAAATTTTTATTTTCCATGGCTTTCCAGAAGCGGCAATTTTAAATACCATGATTTTCCAGGCCTGGAAAATGAATTTATTAAACGTGATTACTTTACCGGTTTTCCATAACCCGTCAAACCCCTGTGGATAAATAAAACATTTTGTACCTCCTTCAAATAACCCATCAGCTTGGTGACAGCAGTGATGAGTGAAGCTGTATATCCACTGAAGGATCCAGAACCAGGCGATGTGGAAACATGGGTTGGTGGTCGGCCTGTTTCCATTTCGTACGATGCTATCTCAGTTTCCAATTGTTCCACCATCTGTCAGAGGAGATTTGAAGAACTCTCTGAACCTCAATATTACAAAAATAACTCTTCTCTCACCTCAAGATGACTTTAAAATGTCAGTGAAAAAAGGGAAAAACCTCTGGTTTTACTAACTTTCCTTTTGGACATTTTTAACCTTATGAAAGCAATTTTTTTTTACTTTAGAAGCCATTATGGTACCGTTAACTTGAAGCTCTATGAAAAAGTGCACTCTCTGAAAAATCTATAAAATCATGCCCTATCATCATATGGCATACATTTTATGTAATAATAATTATTCAAACCCCAGCCAGACCAACACTCAGGGTCTTTATATTAGATAACTAAAAAGAAAGTGCTACATTTGTAATGACATCTGCAAATTGGTTAGACTTTCTAGTCTTCTCTGATAAGGACAAAACTTATCTGGTTCTTGTCAGTTGGACGTAAAAGAACCCACGCCAACCATTCCTGGGTTGGGTGTATTATCTGTAAGGATAGATCTTAATTCATGATCCTTCTGAAGGTGTCGTACTGGCCACCTGTAAACAGAGTACTAAATAAATCACACCTTTTTTAAGTCATCAAGACTTCGTAAGGTAGTTGCACCACTTGCTGAAGAATACAGTGCCGGTTTGTGACTCACTGCACTGTTAGCTGCCTTCTCAATTTTGCTGGGTCTTTGCTCAGTTATTTCTGTGTGACTTTGAGAATAAATAAATTTACACCATTATAAGACCATTTTAGAGAAAAAGGGGATTTAACCATAAAATTTCTCTTCATTACAGCTAGGCCTTGCACAATTGAATCAGGCAAAAAATGTACAGCTACAGTAGTATAAACCGAGTACAAGGATAATAACCATCGGCTGATTGAACCTGGGGTTGCCCACTTGACTCCGGCCTGAGCGGGTGTGAAGAAGACCAAAATGGACAGTGTGGACATTGTTTAAGATATTGTCATGAGTCTTTGCATTTGAAGTATTCTAACTTCACAGTCATGGTTTTTACCTGGATGAAGGTCTTGAGTTGGGTGGAAAGCTGTGGCTTGCAGTTGATTCTGCAGTGGATACTACAATAAACATAATCAAGATTCAGTAAACCAATGAACAGTCATAAAACCATGGATATACACAATCTAAGGAAAAAGAACATGAGATACATCTACATGTGCAGCTGTTAGCTTATCAATATGAATTAACACGTACACTGGATGAAATCCATTAATGTTTCACTTTACACAAAATACTAAAAAATTGACTAGTACTAGGGGAAATAACCTGATGTTTAACTGGTTTCTTTTGAGTGGCAACAGATTAGGATTTTGTCCCATGAAACAAAAGTCACTAAATTACAAGTCTCCATGATAAGTATTGACCCTTGAAGTGAAAAGGAGTAGTAGGAGTTTTTTTTTGTTGTTGTCGTTGTTTGTTTGTTTGTTTTGTTTTGTTTTGTTTTGTTTTTTTTTTACAAGAAAATGAAAAGAAAAAGGGTGACATGCTACATAGAGGCTAGCCGTACCTGGATTCACAACACTAGGCCCTGATCCCGCGACAATTTCCACTGATTCCTGGCTGAGAAAAGTTGCTTGCTGACTAGCATGATCAGTTCTTGAAGCCACACTGCCATGTGGAGACACATGGTCAGTGCCACACCCAGTTATGAATGCCCCAGAGGTCTGATCATTTGTTGTTGTACCAACTGTAGTTACAGCTCCTTGTGGGTAAAAATAAGGTTGTGATGCACGTGGATATAGCTCAGCTTTGTCCTGAGCCGAGCCAGGCAACATGCTGTCATGTCCTCTCACATGGTCATTGCCACGCCCATATAGTGCCAGATGGTCAGAGCCTTGCTCTTTTAATGCCACATGGTCAGGGCCACACCCATTTAAATGAGGCTGTTGGGGCTGTTCCATATATCTACTCTGTTCTTCAGCCACATACTGCTGAAATCTTTGAAGATCCAGCTTCGGTTGGAAAAAAGATCTTGCTTGATGAATTTCATGAGAATTTGGTGTTCCTGGTGCCATTTCATCATCTGAAAAGTGCAATGTAAAAATATGTACAATAAATTTGATAGACAATTCCATGTTTGTTAGGCTACAGCAGAGTGAGAAAACTGCTCAGCACGTATATTGTTTGAATGGTCAGTTATTATTTCTTGCCCTAGAGCATGGCTGCCACAGCCACTGGTTTTTGAAATTCCCTGCCTTTTCCCCAACAAATGTAAAATTTCCCTGACCAACTGATCAATCAACAAATTAGTCCTGATGATGGACTCGACCATTCCCTCATAGCCATCCTCTCCACCCATTTATTCATGCTTCCAGCAAGTCATGTGCAGTGTACATGAATTGATAGTTCCTTAACATAAATTTTGTGAACAATATTCTACCAATACAACATGATTCATGTCTGTAAAGTTGTACAAAAGAATTTCAAATGTTAGAAAACAACAACACCAGAGGGAAAGGAATAAAATATATAATTATACTTTTGTCTGTTTGTAACAATAGTGCTTATATTCACCTTCTTTGTTGTCATCTGAAAGCTCATTTAATGCTGGTGTTCGCATGACAGAATCACTCAACATGGACAGATGAGTTGGTGTTTCTGGAGGCTCAGCCACTGGAAACCTATAAAGAGTGAATTAAAAATGCATTTATTTGCTATGATCATGGAAAAACAAAAAGAAATCTGTCTGGACAGTATTACCCTGCACCACAGACAGTAACTAAACTCTAGTTAACTCAGTCTGCGAAACGACACCAAAATCCCTGTTCTGGGTCCCCACCTGTGAACCAAGATTGGAGTACGCACCATGATTGGCCTGTTAAAAAGCTATTGTTGATTTGCCAATCAAGTTGGAAGGAAATTCGAAATGCACTCCGAGTCCTTGTAATTTGTTGAATCCGTTGGGGACCAGAACAAGGATATCAGCACTGCCTCACAGACATTACTATTAGACCAGGGTTAAATTACGTCTGCGACGCAGGCTGAATGTTACAGACCATCAGATTGATTTAAGAACAAGAGCACAAACTTTTCAATTTCAAACAAGGAAATTATCCAAGAACTCTTCCTCTTTCTTGATGGGCTAAACTCATAGATTAGCATGTGTCAAATGATTTACAACTGCCCTAGAGAAACAGTGGCTGGATAAAGTCATGATTATTAATAAATTAAAGAAAATCTAAACAGCTTAATCAGTAACAATGGAACTACTACATTTTTTGGTTGGGTACCTGTTTTCTTTGCCACGTAAAACATGAGATGGGGCAGCAGTGATATTAGGAAATCCCATGTATTTCTGGAATTGAATTGAGAAAGTGAAGTCTCAATACCATTAGTTACCATCGTGAAATATTAAGCAAGAATGGTAAGACATGCCAGCTAAATCAAAGGTTCAGTCAAGGGAGATTCCACATTAGCAGGTCTATTTGCTCTGGCTATTGGCTAGTACAAAATACTTTTTGTTAAGTGAACATGATTGTATATGTTGTAGTCAATTTTTTGTCTCAGGTAATTTTTTTTTTCCTTTGTTTCAACTTCATTTATAGCATAGATTACCATATCCAAAAACAAAATTACCTGAGATAAAAAATTAACTACAACACATACATTACCTTAGGGTCATCACCAAACAAATCTTTAACAACTGACATGGCTTTATCTGACTCTGTTAGCACATCCTGAAACTAAAACACATTAAAGAGAAAATAAGTTACAGTGTATGAGAAGTTCATGAGAAGGAGACCTTGTTTATAAAAAGCCAAGTAATGATACAGGTGTACTATTTAACAATTATTCTTCAAGCCCGAATGGGCTCTGAGTCAATAGCCCATGACGCTGAAGGCCAAATGGGCTATTGACTCAGAGGCCATGAGGGCAACTAGTTGGTCAAAAATATTGAGAATAAAAACATTTTAGCTATTAAAGCTAGACTTTAATCCTTTTTTGCCGCCAAAAAGCCTGCGCTTTTCGCTACTAGTGGGCTGTAACATATAGCCTAGTAGTAGCTTCAACCAATCAGAACACAGCATTGATAATAGACTACTAGTTGGATTTTACTAATAATACCAGATACAGTCCCCCATCCCTCATATGTGACTAGTATACAAAATACAGTCAAACTCTGTTAATACAGACACTGACAGGGCCATACAAGGTGTCCATATTAACGGGGTGTCTGTTGTCCAGGTTGAATTTATAGAAAATATATAGGCTTTCCTTCCCCAGGAACAAAGCAAACTGTCCATTAAGGGGGTGTGTGTATTAAGTGGGTGTCCGTAAAGTGTGACGTCTGAACAACAACTGCAGAAATTCCATACTGATGGCCTGTTACTACCTGGGTATCTGGGTAGTGCTTCTGATTGGTCGTGTCACAAGAGAAATTTGCTTCATCCAATCAGAAGCACTACCCAGATCTCAGTAGTAACATGTCACCAGTATGGAATTTCTGCTGTCATTGCTCAGACATCATTTTGTGGGGAAACCAGTGGTAGCATCGTGAAATGTTGGCTGTTTTCTCTGGCTAACCTTGTCATGGCCGTATAAAACTTCTTGAACGATTGCAAGTTTACGTCTTTCCACTGAATCAGGAGTCTGCAATGTGGAGTCTGGGAATACAAAGGATAAATGCATATTGATTGTAATTACAGTCATATAAAACCAAAAATTAACAAAATCTCTATAACTGTGTGAGAAAAGGCATTAAATTACATATCTACAGTGTAAGCAAATGATCCTCTGAAAAAAAAAAGGGTTTTATTACAAGCTTTTACCGAGCCTGAGAAAACAGCTGACATTTAGTAACACCACCACTGGTTTCCCCACAGAGTAATGTCTGCAAAACATTTGCAAAAATTCCATATTGATAAAGTTCATTACCCAGATCTGGGTAGTGCTTCTAATTGGTCGTGTCACGTGAGAAATTTGCTTCAGCCAATCAGAAGCACTACCCAGATCTGGGTAATGACATGTCATCAGTATCGTTTCTCAGACGTCATTTCATGGGGAATCCAGAGGTGGCGTCATGAAATATCAGCTGTTTTCTCAGGCTAGCTGTTACCCTCCAAATTGTAAAAAAGTGGATTTTTTACTAACATAATCCCTTACCTAGGCTTGAGTCTTTGAGCTGCCTTTGCAACAGCACTTTAGTTGTATTCTTGGATTTGTGAAGTTCATGTCTTTTGAGCTTCAAAAACAAAGACATCAATAATAATTATCTTCAGATTCATGCATTAAATTTACAGGTTGCTCATTATCCTACACACATAAATAATTACAATGATGTTAGTAGCACTTATTAACTCAGGACAGAGAGAAGAATACAATATTAACATTAAAAGTATTAGTTTATTTAAAACAAGCATCAAATAACCAAATTATTTAACATACCGTACTCATCGAAGAGGCTTCCCTATTAATATAATTTTGTATTAAAAGCTTTTTGGGAAACTTAGTCAGGAGAAATTCTGATATAAAAAACTGGTTCTTAGAGCAATATAACATTGCCAATTACGGCTATAAAAAGAAACATAGTCTACCTGTTCTTCCTTGGATGCCCTGTGCACAGTCAGGTCGTTTACAGTATTCTGAAAAATTATCATACAGAATATACGCATGCTTACTTGTGGGCTTAACAATAACTTACATAAGATCTTAAACTAATACCGTGGAAAATCTACTAGCGTACTGATCGATCTTCAAATAAGCAAAGGAGCTTTTAATATAAGCTTAAGCAAGGTTATGTTTATATGAAATCCGCTCAAGAAGAGTGAAATTTTCGTAAACTTATGAATTTATATCTTATGTATCTCACATATATTCTACTCACATCCCATTCAGGTTTCTTCTTCTTTCTTTTTGTCGTTTCACTTGCTTGTTTATTGGCTACATACCTCACAGCACGTCGAGGACGAATGCTGTGATCTCCAACGAGAAACCCTTTGGTCGCCATATTTATTTTTGATTTCCCGCCGTCCAAGTAGAATCCAGTCTCCAGTGGGTAGATCAGAAACGAGGCCGACTTGCCCTCGCGCGGTTGTCCCGTTATTTGATCGTGGACTATGGTTACGTCCGTGAACAAGAGAGAATTAAGACTTCACTGAGACTTGAATGGGAAGGATTCCTTGTGGCATTTCAGGAAAAACGTTTCTATTTTCTTATTATTAATAATTATTTGCTGCGAATTTGTTCCTCACCCCAACACTGTAAGGGCGGATCCAGGATTTTTTTAGGAGGGGGTGCACTCGTCTCTTGCTCTACTTCAACAACAATAAACCACATAGTTTTTTTTGCAGAATACCAGTTGTATTAGAAAACCGCAGGTCATCTCGGGGGGGTTGGTGCGCACCCCCTGCACCCTCCCCCTAGATCAGCCCCTGCACTGACATAAGAGGGGCTTGCTCGCGGTAAGGTGAACAGGTAACATCTTCCATCTTAGTAACGTTAAAAAATAAACAAGTTTGAGGTGAACGCATCATTGATATTGCTGCTAGTCTACATGTTTTTTGTTTGTTTGTTTTTTGTTGTTTTGTGTTCTTTTTTTTTTAATGATTAAAAGGCAACTGTAATAGCCCACGTTCGATATATAAAATTCTAATATAAAATTCTGACTCCGAGGCTTTAGGGACAAAATTGTAAATTTTTCCACGACTCGATTGTATCGTCATTTCCAGAAGAGACTTAAGCACAACCAAACCAAATATAGACTGAAAATCACCGGAAAACCAGGGAGTCATGTGAGAATTTTAATACATCAATCATGGGCTATTATATAGTTAAGTCAAAGTCAAAGAAAAAAATACATATTAGTTAAAGTAATAATTGCCTGTGTGTAGACGTATCAGGCTTTACTTTGTTGCTCGCAACAAAGGACAGGAGACGTCTGTAGGCAGGCTGAGTAATAAACCGCTCCAAAATGGCGAATTTGATCTGCAGTATTCTGATATTTCGTAGTTTGCTGAAAGTAAAACAATTGTCTGTGCCTACTACTTGGGAGTTGCCCTTAGCCCGCTCTGTTTTAGAGTTTTTGATTTGAAAACAATTTTTTTATTCCGATGCAAATAAAGCTCGCCTTAACATCAAAGGTTTTACTCCAGGCCTTATATTAAAAGTGAGGGTTTTCGGAACTCGAAACCGCCTATTGTACAAGTGTCAATAAAGTCTTTAAGCCAATAGTAGTGTAGAATCAAGTTAAGGCGTGACGTACTTCAGCTACAATGTTAATCAAGTGATTATCATATCATGCTCTACTTTCAGAATCAGTTAAACTGTATCCGGCAGGCCTTCAGTTCGAAGTTATATTTTTCTAATTAAGGTCGTTTATAAGTAGTCACTGATGGCAGTGCAATTGTCATAATCATCAGAGCTCGACAAGCGAGGTGCTTTAAGCGGATTACTTGCAAGGTTCTTCGTATTTATTTTTTCCTGTGTTTTTTGTGAAGGACATCAGGCCAGACGCGAGACTTATGGTGATGGTGCGGTAGAAGATAACGGGCAACATTTTTCAAGGGAATGATCTGGCAGTCTGTTTCACCTGGAAAGCAGTTGATAAAAATGAAGAAAATAACAACTGCTAATTATAATTTTCCGTCCTTCTGCGATCACAGTCAGCCATACTCAGAAATGAATAGCGCGGATGTTCAACGGGAAAGCGAGGATGATATGAAAGATGGTCAGCCAGCCTTCAAAAAATTTCGTCATCCTAATCAACAAGAACACTCCACGGAGATAGTGAAGGGGAGTTATGATTTTCCATCACAACACGGTGGCGACTGGCAGCGCTTTAAATATACACGTCCCGAAAGAATATATTCAGATAACGTTATTCCCAGAGCTCACATGTTTTTGGACAACAATGAAATCGCAGCACATGTCGGCCAGCCACTTTGGTTTGATCACGACGAAACACAAATCTCCTGTACAGCCCTGCCAAGTTATACTGCTCTTTCTGAAGAAGGCGAAGGAGATTTCTTTCGGAAAATTAGAAGGTACTTTGAAAACGGACGCAGAAATGCCCTCTGTGATGAAGAAATAGGTGTGAGAGTGAAAACAGAGCCAATGAGACGGGAAACGGACGTAAATTTAAGGGAAATTTCCGACCAAATGGAGCTGCTGGTAGTTTGCAGAAAAAGAAAGCGATAAATGTTGAACAAATGAGAAAAGGTATAAATGTTCTGCTCACGAAACCAAAACACTTTAGTTTCTGTAACAGGTGTATAGGAACCTACACTTCACAGGCAACTCTCAACGGAAAGTCCTTATGAAAAGCAAACGCAAAAACTGAATTCTTTTCAAGTTTAAACATTCAGCTTTCGACCTTGTCGACTCCACAATAGTTCGATAACTGGCCAGTCGACGATACTTGCTCTCCGCCTCTGATTGTACTTTTTATTATTATTATTATTATTATTATTATTATTATTATTATTATTATTATTATTATTAGAAAATTTTCATTTTTTAGTTTATAGACAGTTGTTAATATTTGCTCTGTTGAAAACCACCAGCCCACCAAGAAGTCTTTTTGAACTATAGTTATACTAAATTTGTATTTAATTTTCAATTTGAGAAGAGTTTAATAAAGTATGGTTTTTTGAAAATCATTATGATGATGATGATGATGATGATGATGATTATTATTATAATTATTATTATTATTACCATAATTATTATTATTATTATCATAATTATTATTATCATGATTATTATTATTTTACTTTTCTAAGCGACAAAAGCCTGGAGAAAGTAATAAGGTCAATAATCCTGTTTTTTGTTTTTTTTCCTGTTTTCGTTTTGTAATTCAAAACATACAATTTACAAACATTTTATGTGATAAATAGCGCTGTCGTGTTGAGTAGTGTTTATAATTTTCCACACAAAGTTCAAACAAGAAACGTGAAGACACCACTCGCACATCACGATGTTCCCGTTTTCCACTGACGAGCCAAGACCAAGTTATTCCCTGGTTTCGATAACTGAGGGATAGAAATAAAAGAAGAACAATGTAAGCAAAATTTTTAACACTAGTCGTCACAAAGAGGGAAATATTTACACACAAACAAACAAAAACACTGTCGGTAAGGCGTTGCCCGTCAATATAGGTTCGTTTGTTTTGACGAAGAAAAAATTAGGTAGAATAATTCTTTGCCGCCGGACTTTGGGTGATCTTTGGGAGCTACCGGTACAGCTGCCTATCCGCTCAGCCGCTAACTTACCTCCAGGTATATTGACTTTGTTTGAGACCAGTACATCCGCTTGTATAGCTGTCATATTTACGTACATGCTGTCTGGATGCGACTGGATGAGAGGAAATAAAAACCAAATAAGCTATTATTTTCTTCGTCTTTTATACGACATTTTACATATTTCAAGTTTAAAAAGACAATCTACATAACCTTGCGTGGCAGAATTTCAAAGAGTCGAAGAATCGAGAAGAAGAGAAATCGAGCGCGATACGCGCGTGCCCTTCTCGTATTCCCCGATACCAATTTCCCGTTTCCACTCGAGGACCTGTGTGTCACGCGCGCAGGCCACACACACAAAACAGTATACTAATTTCAGATAGTGGAGAGTGTCGCGCAAAAGATAGCGGATTAAAAAAAGCGGAAAAACGGACGTGAAAGGACGTTCTCATCCTACCTCCCATCGCCTACACTGTTTTTTTTTTCCTACACACTTTTCTTCGCGCCGCCCCCACTATCAGAACACCTAGAACAAGCTATGTACGGTCTAGCCTTTCAAATTTTCAAGACGTACCATGAATTCTTCGTAAAATGTGTCACCAAGGGCTTCGCGCACTCGATCATTCACCAGAGGAAAGGATCGCACGAAAAACTGTAGAAAAATAGTACATCGGTAATGTCATGTACTTTTCACAAACATATTCACTCCCTTAAAATATTCCTTGTTGTTATAAAAAGTGATCTTGTACTAAATGACGAAGAAAGGTAGTTGATATTCACAACAAATGTTGTAAGAATGTTGCCCAAGTGGTTCTCCCTATAATGGCCTAAACGGGAAGGCTCCACCCGCAAGGGGTACCATTTGTCTATAGAGGGTATAAGAAAGGGGTGCCTCTCCTGCCAAAAATGGTATATAAAAGGATAAGGGGTTAGACCCCAGGGCGAAGCTCCCCCGTATACAACGTTGTTGACTACCCCCGAGGGGAGTTGAGATCTTGTAGTAAAAAGCCACACCCACCTCCAAAGCAATTCCTGATTGTCTTTGACTGTCAGCGTGTAGCGTATTTCCCATAGCAAACAACAATCCATGGACAGTTCGTAGCTTTAACGAAATCAAATAATTTCGTTAGCGAAAAAACATTTCGCACTGACAGAAAAATGTTTAATGTACCGATTTTGTTTTTACCTGAACAAGACTTTCTGATGTTTTTGCTGACTCTTTAGCCAGGATTCTGAAAAGAAAGTAATAAAAATCAATACAAAATTATCTAAAGAAAAAATTGTAAAATACATAATAAAGTGCCTCACGGCGATTGTATAAATAATTTTCCAGATTCCGTTAACACGAATTCTCAGGTTTTAGTTCGGTTTCCCTCTAGTTATTTTATACAACATAAAAAAGCCAAGCATTATTCCCTACTAAAAGTACTAACTGAAATAAATTTAGAAAAAAACATTCAATCTGACGTTACTCAAGAATTTACCCAATACAATGGTATGCTAGTTTGTCTCCATGTCTTCCTTTGACCAGCAGACAAATTCTAGAAATCTCCTTTCACTGCATTACCTTATTTTTGTACCATATAACTTTAAGGAAATCTCTAGCCTGTGCCACAGAGGGAACCAAATTGTTCTGGTTAAGTCCGTCTGCAAAACGGCGCCAAAATCTTTGTTCTGGCTCCCCACCTGTGTACCAGGATTTGAGCACATGCCATAATTGGCCTGTTAAAAATGCCATTGTCAATTTGCCAATCAGGTTGAAGGGAAATTTGAAACGCATTTCCGGTAATTGTTTGAGTCCGTTGGGGGCACAGAACAAGAACTGATCGGCACTGCTTCGCAGACGTTACTAACCGGGGTTAGATAACATCTGCAATGAAGGCAATTAATCTCCTTACAGATTATTAAAGATGAAGGAAATTTGTCCCTACAGTTCCTTTTTCAACCCCCACTCTCAGGCCCATCACCAACATTACTATTATACTACGACTATAAATAACTTGCCGCACCCAATCATTTTAGCAGCTGCTGCCTGCTGTACAAACACAGGGAGTGGGGCCTGGAGCTGTGGTGCATCAGGATCTATCAGAGAAAAGGAAAAGTATCCTATCTGGTCAAAATTTGAAAGGATCAAGCCCAGTGCTCTGAGCCTGTGAAATCCAGGGTGCCCAGCATTTGATTTATATGAAAAAAAGCCTAGGATTTTTCAATTGCCTGGGAGAAAATTGGCATGATTTCTGTAAAGGAGTTGAGGCTTAGCTTCATTGATCTCATAAGTGGAGTGTCACATATCAGATAAGTTTTGAGCCACAATTGGATCAATTTAGGTTTTTGGGAAACTACCCAACTACCCCTCCCTTAAGCCATCATTTTGCCCTAAGTGAGAAGTAAGTGTTTATGTTTGCTTAGGGGAGGGGTAGGTGGGCAGTTTCCCAGTGTTAGGAGAAAACTGACATTGATCCCTCTTGGGATGTAAAAGAGTAATGTAGATATTTCACTGTACAGCTGCAGATTACCCCAGGTTATATAATTTTATAGGCAGCCACAAAGTGACACCCATGGGCCAGGTACAGATCACGCATCGAACCTGTGAAGGATGTCTCTGAACTGTCTTTGATCTCATCCTTGGTAGGTTTTAGTAATGCCACTAAGCCTTTTAGCAGAGAGTGTTGTACATCATATTGCATTAAGTCTTTGATGAGTTCACAGGCTTCATACTGAACTTCCAGGTGCAGGGATCTTAAAAGCATCAATACAGGTTCCACGATGGTTGGGTTTGCTGCTCCGACCACAGGCTGGTAAGGGAATAAATAGTTTAATGAGTAATATGTGGTCATGTGTATAAAAAATAAACTTGAACTTGAAACTTGATCTCTTGACAAATGACAATAAGCTTTACCTTAAAGTAATGCGATTATTTATACTTGTAAGCCACTTCAAAAATATTGTTCAGTAATAATCTCCTGGGGTCAGGCATAACTCCAAAAAAAAGTGACAGGATGCTAGTTGCCTCCTTTAGTGGTAGAAACTCCATATTTTGGTCTCAATTAGGGAGTTGACAATGAAAAGCCAATCAATTTAAATTAATAAAGACTGGTCCCCACCAAGACTGCATTCCTTTAGGAAATTAAAATTTCTAGTGCTGGTTTAGATAGTGCTTCTTGTCCAACGTCTTTTGTTCTCAACATATTCCTTCTTATAGAGAATTTTTATGTTTGGTAATCACATTAGATTTTATTATTATGGCATGTAAGTTTGATGAAGTACCAATATCTCTTGATGGAATAAGAAACTGGTACTACTGAAGCTTACAACCTTTAAAAGAAGTGACTTAAGGATGACTACACCAACCTGAACTATTCTCAGTGTTTGAGCAGCCATCTGTTGCGCCTTTGGAGACACACACTTTAACAAGGCAATCAGTGCTTTGTAAACTTGACTTTCATATTTCGGGTTTCCCTAGAGAAAATTATCTTTATCACGTATCATCATAATCATAATCACAGTCACTTATCAGGGTTGTCACTAAGATTTCAAGTTGCCGGGTAAATACAACAAGTAGGCAGGGAATCAAACAGCTAGGGGTTTCTTTTGGTTCTATTTTTCTTCTATTTTCCGGTAAAAGTAGCCTGGAGCCACACTCATTAATAGCGACAGGAAATGCCCTGCCCCCGGCTCTTAACAACAACCCTGCTTATCTTTATGACACGATTTTTGCTCTCATTGTCTGATAATCATCATTATCATCTTCAATACCATCTTAGGTACTGGTACTTATACTTATATGCTTACACTTGTACCAGTATTTCTTGAATTATTTTGGAACATTTAATGTTTCAAAATAATTCAAGAGGTTTTGACTAAAGTGCTTTAGCAATGGAAAACTGACTTTGCTCTTTTGGATCCTTAGGTGATTACTTGTAAAAGGTGGTTGCTTACAAGAGGTCAAGGCACAGAGATTACACTGCATTAACATTGGCCATTTCAAGAACATAAAAACTGAAAATTCCTTACACTAGCGAGTTGTTGTAGTAAATTTCTGGCACAATCTTGGGTCTCCTCTGAATTTGACTTTGCCAAGCATTCAGCTACAGCCCTGATACCTTGGAAAAAATATTTAAAAGAGCATGATCACTCTCACTTATCACTGATAGCAAATCCATTAGTAGATCTATGAGGAAGAGGGGGAAGGGAGGGGCTTTATTTTTTGGGGAGGGAGGCAATAATGCCCCATTCCTTTCTCTTTCTTATTTGGTAAGCAAATGTCTTACATAATTTGCAATCTCCATGAGTCTAAACTTTTCAGTTAAAGTGAATGAAGGTCTCTGTAAAAGGTAGTGATACTGTAAGGAATGAAGTTACATTCTCTAGGAGCAGCTTTTACAGATCACTTTTTCCGAGTTTTCTTGATCATCTTCTATACCTTCCCTCCAATGCCAGGCAGTTTTTATCCATCATAATCTTCACGAGTTTTACCAAAATGTCTGGAATATCAAGCTCGTTCTATTTGTATATTTATATGATAGGATTTCTTACACGTCCCTTACCAAAGCTCTCACAAATGAGTTCTTTGTATCTTCTCCCAGAGTTTGAGACACACATCAACACCTTTAATGCCTGGGCTTTGTCTTCCTATGTGTACACATGTGAAAATAAGAAAACTACACAGTAAGGCAAAGATAACATTTGGTAAGCCTAGGAGAAACCTTCTTTGCTCTTTCCTTGCTTGGAAGTGCTCTTGACTTCTGCAAATGCATGAATTTTAGCTTTGCTATTCTCAGCATATGTAAGACAGTTTAACACCATATTAATTAACATTTTAGGGTTTCTCTATGTAGATTAATATATCAAGCAAAGAGTCTAAGAATGGTTTCAACCATTGTACAGATTTAATGGTTAGCTTGTTCACAGTAAAATGAAATGATGATTGCAAGCGTAAAAATTTACAAAATTTTCTTCGGGATGCAAAACCTAGAGCCTCTATAATTAAAGACCCTTTGGTGCTCACAATACAGTCACTTGAGTTCCTGGATCCATGCTTGAACATTATATACATTGAGGAAGATAGAATGTTACCTCCTTTGCCTGCTTAAGGCCAAGAATTTCAAGAACAGTTAAAACTCCACCAACTTCCAAGAACTCTGCCAAAAATTTATGCCTGAAGGAAACAAAAACAAAAAACATTATTCTGGGCTTGGAAATTCAGCATGGAATATTTTGGGGGCTAATTTTTGGTCCAGAGATTTTTTGGCATTTTGTTGGAAGCCCTAGGGATTTTTAGGGGGTTTTGATTTTTGCCCCCATTCGATCAGCCCCATCACTTGAAATCCTGCGTACTCTCCCTGGGATGTAGAAAAGACAGTAAAGACAAACTCACCCACTTGATGAGCCAACAAAAATAGTGATAGCTTGAAGCTGTAACTGAACACATGTCCCAAGCATGTAACTTTTGTAGTGCAAGATAGTACGTCAAGGATATTAACAATGTTAGTCAGCTCTCCCTTGATGGAAATCACAATAAGACGGACACATCACTAAAATGGACACCTAGAGTTAGTCACTACCCTTCTTTTTTCCTCCTTTTAGTTGACTCTCTTTTGCTTCTTGGCGTTATAACACAAGAGGTGGTTGTGACGCAATACAGCAATTTCAGTATACTGGTATTCAAAGTTGGCTACAAGGCTTGGGTAAATCGAAACAAAAGGAAAAATAATTTTTATGAATTCCTGAACTTCAAAGTTGTTTCATCTATTTTATTTAGCCAAGCCTTGGAGCCACGTTCGAATTTTAACTTATCGAAATTGGTCTACTGAAACTAAATGTATTACAACTATAATTAAAAAAGAGATCTTTATTATCTGGGCACCTTGTTTCATCCCTTGATGTGTGCGTATTTCCTATTAACAACTTATCAATACCAACGCTAGACTTGTAAAGGATACGTTAGCCGTAACCATGCTGTCAGCCTTGTTAGAAACAAACTTGCTGCATGAGCAAATTCAAGTTCCAGTTCTGGGCCAGTTTTTCCTTGGTTTTGAGCGATAAAATCTTGCAGAATTTTTGAACGTACACTCTTTGATCCATGGTCCCATTGTTGAAGTAATTTTGTTACAGCAGCTTGGTCTGTTTTCATTCTGAAGATATTCAAAATATCATTCTTAATATTGCGATCTGATCGGCCAAGTTGACATAAAAAATATAAGCTTGAGCTTTTTTTGGCTGCGATTAAAACTAAACAGTTCGGATTCAGTGGCTGTCAAAGCTGACGCTTGCAAAACTACAGGAATAAATTTAAAAAATATGAAAAAGAGTTAAAATTGAAACTATCAACTAATCTTACCCGCTAAAGTATCCTCTAAAAAGTGTTTAAAATACAAAAAAAAAAATCTAGGATCATGCTCTTGGTTCAATGCCCGCCATATTTGTTGACAATGGTAGACAATGGTAACTACAAGGGTAGGTACTTCATATATGATCCCTATAGTGTACTGATCTAGAGTCTTTTTGGAGTCCAGTCCCGCGCTTCCTGGTGACCTCCCAGTGCTTCAGGATTCAAGATACGAAGGGGAAAGGGAAAGGGTACTAGGAAGAAAGCTTTCTGCGCTTTTCTCTCATAACGGATAGGTGTTCATACTATCTGGTTAAGTGTGAACAAAGCTATAGAATCAGATTCATCCTACTTTAATGGAAGATGGCAAACCCTTACATATTGTTGGTTTTCACATGACGTCACTAAAATTCAAACTTAAAAACTATGGATCCTACCAAAATTTTAGTTTCACGATGCATTACAGCAGCTCAAAACTAATTTTCATAGAAATTTTCGCTTCAAACGGGTTCTTCGTTTTGTGATAGAGTATGCTTGAATTTCTAAGCTTTTGCGTGACGCGGCATTTACATGACGGCAAAGAGAGCTGTCATGTTGGTTAAAAAAATCACTTATTTCAGAACATTTTGCTATCTAAACAGTTCATGTATTAGAAAGCGTATTGCTTTAATGTTTATGAGTTTCTCGAAGAATAAATCCACTGTTTTGTTGCAAAACTCGCTAACAGATGTTTCTGTTGGTTTCCGTCCGCCATGTTGGAGCTCATCCAGGTGAGCACCACTTGGCGTCTCCATACAAATCTCTGCAACTTTGGGCGTATGGAAAAGCCGGAATCCGGAATCCGGAACCGGAGCAGGAAACGGAACCGGAACCGGAACTTAAATTGAGACCAAAAAAAAAACTGGGAAGCACTGAAACCAGTTCCCGATACCCGTGTGGGAATAAAATTCAAGATGGAGTCCTCTGTTTTGAGAAATTTTCAGCACAGTGATCGTGATACCAAAGGTACACTCACATTCGGAAAGTGACTTGCAAAAAAAAAGGTAAGTGCATCCTACTGTTATTCCTAGCAGTCATAAACTGTGACTGCAGCTGTAGGTCGAGCAATTTTCGAGACTACAACTAATCAGAAGCCGATTGACTGCGAAAAACAGCCATTATTAATATGTGATGTTTAAGACCGCTGTGTTATTCATTTCCTTCTCTTGAGCCTAAGTTACTTATTTCTTAAAAGGGCTCCGTGTTACATCCATTGTGAGGAAAAGGCGGCAAAGGGAGGGGGAGTACTCATGTCAATCATGATCCCAAGTTGCAACGCTCACGCGTATATAAAATTCGCGAAGAAAAATTTTGCGCCGTACGCAAAAAATGCGACAGTAAAAAATATAATAACAATAAATAAATATAATGTGGGGATGAAATGTCTTGATCGAGCAATAATTGTTAGTGACAGAAACGTCTCCAAGTTTTCATTCTTAGGTTCGGGTTCGGGTTCGGGTTCGGGTTCCGGTTCCGGTTCCGGTTCCGGTTCCGTTTCCGTTTCCGGCTCCGGTTCCGGATTCCGGATTCCGGCTTTTCCATACGCCCTGCAAGTTTGGGTAAAACATTTCTTCGGATATCTCGTATACGAAATATTCTTCTGACCTGAATCTAGGCGAGGATCTTTATATATTTACCTTCTTTCATTTCCCAGATTCCGGACCTTATCTATTGAACGGTCTTGATTTTTATTTTGATCTATTTTGAGTGGCGTGACACTGAAAACCAGTATAAGCATAAAGATTTGCACTTACCCTTATTTAAGTGAACAATTGATGATACAGTCACTCTTTAGAGAACTGGTTTCTTTAAGGAACATCATAGGTCAAGCTTCTGTCATTTCCATTATTCAAAAGGTAGCCGGGTTCGCGCTCTTTAGCGCGAGCTAAAACCGCGTTGGACTGTATTTTGAGCGAAATTTAAGTCAGCGTAACAAGAAACACTGATGTCCATGATTGAATGAACGAGGGTATAAAATGAGTATTTATTATTTGACTGGGTTCTTCATTTCTGTAGTTTTGTGATTTTGGTGAACCTTTGCTCGTAAGTGTGTGATCACTTCCTTGAGGAGTTTGCGATCTCGCCCCCTTTTTTTTTTATCCTGAACAATATCAAGCTTGTCCACATCAATTCTGTATGCATGAAACCAAATATGTTTGTTTTTTGTTTATTTATGGTTCTGCAAATGAAAAAAGTACGCCTTCCTTTCCGGCGAAAGATATTTTGAAAACCATCGGCAAACTTCAAAAGTTTTCAGCATCTAAAATCTTAAAGAAGACATGACTGGCCATAGACTTCGACTAGCAATTACTTGAATATCTGTGAGAGGGCTTATGTATGCGCTGAGTGTTTTGCGATTAATTTCACTCCCTCCTTTTGCCATACACAAAATAAAAATCCCCAAGCTGAGCACCACCCAAACTGCACCAGACAACATTGTGTTTCGTGAAAATATCAACGTTCCTTGGTCCACGCTTCGTAGTGGGGAGTCACATTCAATGAGTCAGTCATTTCATGAGTTCGAGTTTGAAGACTTAATTTTGGGATCATATTATTTATTCTCTGTGCTTAAATTTGGTCAGTCTAATCTTTAAATCTCATAAATTAAGAGTAAATATAGGAGCATTGTTCAACTTTGGCTTGTAGAAAAATGTGAAAAGGTCCAAAGGAAGCTAAATTCAATTAAGACAACATTGTTAGTTGTTACCTTCATTGTCGCGATTTTATCCATCTTGCTCCGTGAACAAAAGGGTGGTAATAAGTTCAATTATTGTAGGTTTTCTTAGTAATTATCATAAAATATATTTTGGAAGAGACAAAGGAAATAACTGATTGGTTTTAATTTTAAAGCAAAATTTTCATTTTGTGTAAGCTTGACTGAATGAAAATCTATGTTTTCGATTTAAGGTTTTGAAAACTATAAAAGTGATCTAAGAATAAACATATTCTGAGGTTGTTTTGACAAGATGTTGACTTATTGCTGCCCACCCCAACCTGTGTCCAAGGAAATATGATAGATTAAATACTACACCTTTTTTCATATATTTTATTGAAGATGGTATTGCTGGTGAGGTCATCTCAAGAAACTTTATTTGCCAGGAAAGGACAAGAATTCGGATACAAATCCGATGTTCAATACATAAATACGTATTGCTGCGTCATTCATCGAAAAGACGAATTTGTAAATATGAAGATGTAGTTGTTTGACTTCGCAACAAAAGCTGCCATTATGCATGACGCACTATAGATGGATGGTCAATATGAGTTTATCTCGGCCTTTCATTGTTGTCGTTTATGAGATTTATAACTTATAAATTTTTCAACACTTCGAAAAAAGATCCACTCTTATTGGCGATTCGATCGATACTCATTTCCCAGAACTCTGTTACTGGAGGACATTCTAGAAAGAGCGCAAATCGCGCGGAGTTTTTCCACTGATTTAATGCGGCACCTGCGTATTGTGCGCAGTGACAGGTGACAATCACATTTGAGAAGAGAAAAATTAATATCCAACATTTCGCATGAATTTGTGTACCCTGTTGTTCCGATCCTGTCTCGAGGTATAAATCATTTTATGTAATTGCTTTCTTTGACGCATCTCTATTAGCAATTGGTATTGCGCATATCCGATCCCCAGACTCGAGACCGCCCACTAAAAACATCAAGCAAAAATTTTTCTGTAAACCTCTCGAGCAAAGCAGTTGTATTTCATCGGAATCGTTTGCTGCATCTTCTTCGCCTCTATGGATACTATTGCTGACAGAATCGTTATCAACGTTGGAGGTAAGCGACATGAGACATACGCAAGTACTCTTCAAACTATCCCTGACACCAGGTTGGCATGGATTGCGGAGAGTTTCCTGGCCAATAATAACAGGCAAGAGATATTTTTCGACCGAAACCCAGAATTATTCGGGATCATTCTTAACTACTACCGTACTGGGCAACTGCATGCTCCGCGCGACTTCTGTGGCCCTCTCTTTGAGGCAGAGTTAATATTCTGGGGCATTGAAGAGAGGGAAATGGAGGCGTGTTGTTGGCCCTATTATACTCAACATCGAGATGCCGAGAAGAACCTGAAAGATTTCGTAGGACCCGAGTTTGAAGACACGGACAACGACGACGAAGAATTCTCGCCCGATTTAGAATCATCGTCATTTCATCAAGTTTCATCATTATCATACTGGACACTTTATAAACCGAAAATCTGGGCATTACTAGATGATCCGCACTCATCGACCAAGGCTAAGGTATTAACACTCTTCGCTTCTATTCTTTTTGTTTTCTTCCAAAATCTCATATTAATTTTTAAGCTGAATATAATTCGGAAGCGAATTTCAGGTGCATTTGTTCGGTCAATATCGGTTGTTCATCATTTGGGTTTTTTACTACTACTACTGTATACGAGCAGGCAGCCCTTACTTATTTTAACGCAATGACCTATAAACTCAATTCATTATGTCTACTCCATAAACGATATCTGTGGTTCAGAAAAGAATGCCCAAACGGCTACTAAGGCGTTTGTCAACGCTTAACAAATATGGAAAATTTCGCCAGTTTTCTATGCAAATAGAGACCACAAGTAAATAAAAGGGTATCGCATGTCGACGATTTTAAGCCTAAAAAACGCTTCTAAAACTATGTTTCTGGATTAATCGGGCATGGTTTTAAGGCGAAAAAGAAATTAAATCCACGATAGAGCTGGGCAATCTGGTTACCAAGGGGTTTGTTTTTGCTAAACAGATGGGTATAAGATAATGGCGTACGAATCGCTATCTGAGAAATCAGCCATAAGAAAACGTTCTTTGTTTCTCAGGCATCGTAGATGAAAATTCTATTGAAAAGAAATCATAACATCTCACTGTGTTTTTCCAATTAAACTGCGGCTTAGTTTTGTGGAAAAATTTTTAATGTACTGTAAACGGGTTTTACATGGGGACTTCCGTTCTTCATAGAGGAAGGATTCTATTGTGGAATAACACCTCCGTTTATAAAAGCTAATTGATGTAGAACATAAGATAACAGAAAAATATCGAAATATATGAAGGGAATAGTTTTT